TAATCCCTTGCCATCACTTAGTACCTTTTCCCTTGTAAACAAGCCTTATGGGTCTTAGGGGAAATAATAATTTGTTCCTGACCAGTCCATATAAACAATTGGGTGTAGGAAAAAAATTAACAGATACTGTGAACAAGGAGAGTTTAAAGAGTGCATCCTCTTTCCAATGCTATGATGCGACATACAATTAAGGAGGTTGTGGTACTCTGTGTAACACTCTGAATGATGCAGACTCTGATACTCAAACTAAGACCAAAGCCACATTTTTCACTCATGTCATTAAAACTGCACTGTTACCTGGCAGGCAAACTAAACAAATCCAAGTCCAAACAGGGATGACAGCCACAAAAATCATACTTTAAAGAGGTCCCTTTAATACTAATAGTCTATTAGATGCATGGGTGAGCACATCTTTAACTAGAGGAACGAAAAAAAAAGGAGGGGAAGATTGGGAAATGGCTTCAGAGAACCATCTCCATAAAGAAAGGAGGATGTACAAGTTAGTTATGTAACAAATCCTGACCTTATAAATGAGGACATAACCATCCTGATGGAGAACATGACATTTTATTAGGCACTTTCCTGCCATTTCCTAACATTACATATAGACAACTTCATAAGAGAAAAATTAGATTTCTAACAACGTAACTTTAAAAAATGACAGAGGAAAAGCTTCTGTAATAACCTAATGATTTATAATTGCATACTGTAAGTACTTATACTCACAGAATGCCAATTATCTAATTGGCAGAACTCATACTGGCTGACATATCGGATTTGATACACAATGAGAAAAAGCAGACATTCATTTACATAACTACTAGAAATGCGCAGAGCAACCTGGTGAACCTCTTAAGCCCTTAACATTTTCCTCATACTAGATTTTCCAAACACATTTGACTCAAAGGGGAAAAATTAACAATGGCACCTGGAAATACTACTCATGTACCACAAATTAAAAAGGAAAAAGACAAGATCAATGAAAATGCTTTGTATGTCAAAGAAGAGTCCTCTACTTTGGAGCAGTACCACGCTACACTCGTAGGTCCACCAAGAATGAACCTATCCTCAAGCACCAAAGTTAGTGGACTGTTCTGGAAAGCACTGACTTTGAGTAAAAGCAAACTTGGCAACCTCCCACTCAAGAATGAGAGGCATAGCATTAACAACACTTACCAGCACAAGTGCTTAGTTTTCCACATGGTGTCAAATGCTATCCATGCTTACAGCTATGTACCACACCAAGCTAAGCTAATCATTGACATGGTATCTTTCCAAACTCTGTTTACATTTCCTGTTAGAGACTAAACTATTCCTATCATTCTTAAGCATTTTTCAGTATTGTTTGTGTTCTACCAAGACACACAGATAATAACTGGAGGAATAAAAAAGAAACCTACTTTGCTAAATAAATCATTAGAAGCTTTCAATATCCCCAAATAAGGATATTACAAAATACTGCAATGCTGACATTATACAAAACGACAAAAGCAGAGCAAGCAAGCTGATTATTTCCAGATATATAGATATAGATATAGGTACAAGAAGGGGAAGAGGTACAATTTTAGCAACTTTGGTCTCAGGAAATACAAAGAATGCAAGATGTGTATTTCAAAATGTAGCACCTGAGACAGTGGTGAGGGCCCACATCCTTTCCACAATGGCCTAAAGAAAAGTTAGGCTGCTGCTCCTGACCACGTTCACTAGGCACTACTTTGGGGACTAAGGGTACATCTCATAAAACCCAACTACATCTACTGTACTGTACTAGAAGAGTACTCTTGAAGCTGTAGGTTCACAAGGAAGCTGTTAAGATTGCAGACAAACTGGAATACGACTGAACTAGACCAGGAAATTTTGACATTTGTGAATGTACTCATCCACATTGCTGTCACCTCTCATGTCTCAAACCCTCGCTCAGATATGATTCTCCTCCATCAAACTCCAAGACTTCTGTGCTTTTCAAAAAAACCTCATTGTTCTAGCAATTGCATCTGTGCATACTTCTCTTGTGTGGTGAAATGGAAACACCTTTACTCCATCTAAACCTTGTTACTAGACCCTACTGTTACATACATCAGTTTAAAGGCAAAGGTCCTTAATTTATTTTATGAAGTACCGAGAACTTTTAATAAACAAATTAAAATGCACATGGATAGACATGAGTGGAAACAGGCAGTAAGAATACAAAATGTGGAAAATAATACAGACACATGTATCAGTCAGACACCAAAAAATGCTAACACTGGATGGCCAGACTCAGATAGCAAATGCAGATAATTAGGTAGTATGTAGTTTATGCAAAAACCCGAAGTAATACCAGGAAATTACTGTTAAATGAGAAGGTGTTGCAATGCACTAATCAGGAAAGCAGTAGTTATTGTTCTTTTTTTAATATGAACTTCTAAAGACTAACACAATGTGCAGCTGTGTGTAGGAAGATAAACAGGATGCTGGATCGAAGGACTATATGCATACATGGTAAAATGCAATGGTACTGTTGGCACTAAAGACACATCCTTGCTTGTCTCTCTGGATGATATTGCCTAGACAAGAAAGCTATAGTTTGGATAATAAACTGTCACTTTATAACCTGCTTAGTCCAACTAATTGTCCTGAGAAATACTGTGAACTACAACTGCTCTGCACTGATTCTCATCTTATCTGCTCTAAAATCCTTCATTTGCCACGCTGTCAAAGGTGCTATAGTTGAAATAGGAAATTAGTTTTGCCATGCTGGTTCTAAATGAAAAAGGATGGAAGCTTTAGCTTCCCACACAAAGTCCAAAGTCCACATATGTATAGTTATAAACATGACCACTAACTAGAAAAGTAGCTAAAAGCAATGAAGTAATACTACAGAGTTTAGAGAAAGAATAAAAGAGGTCAAACCTTTATATTTTCCCCAACATTTTATCCATAAAGCAACTCCGAGGCAAGAATGAGAATACATGTTACCTTCATTTTCTCCCCAGTACTTCTGTCTGCTCCCTCCCTTTCCTCTCTAAAATAACCTGATGCTCTTAGGACAGCTCCAGCTATAGGCTAGAGAAAGCAACTGGCAAAAAGAGCAAAATCCTCAGAAGTGCTAAGACACCGTGCAGATACCTGCTTTCCCTATAGCAAATCTTGAAAACCTGAGCTTGCTACTGGTATCACCCCTGACCATCGTACAGAGGAGCAAGGGGAGAAGCTCACCCTCAGCTTGGCCTTCCCAAGCAAGCCTGTCTCACAGCCATCCTCAGGAGACAAAATTCTGTTCTGTCTCTGCAGCTGAGAAATCTAACTGGCTTTGGATGTCCAAAGTAATATCTAATCAGGAACCTGGTTAGTGAGGTAGTCCAACAGTAAAAATTACTTAAGCTTTTCTTGAAAATATTGTTCATATGAATCAAAATATTTTGTTTAAATACTGTGTTACATTTAAACCAATTTTGCTTAAACTTTGCAAATGGATTTGCACAAGTTTGCTTTTGAAAAATTTTATTTTTAACACAAGTTTCAGATGCGAGATACAGCAAGCATATGTAATATAATCCCTATGAAATGGCAAAACCAGAGTGACTCACATTGTTCAGTCATAGAAGGAACAACCACTTGACAGAATCAATTTCACACATTCTGTCTGAAGGTATGTTTGGCCCTGGCAGTCTGTCATTTTTTGTAAAATTTTCGTAGCTTTGACATAAATATGTCCACTAAAGAGAGGCTTTTTATTTGAGAAGGAGCTTTCTAAAATGATGTGAGTATCTGAAAAATAAAGCTGTCACTTGCAGAAGGTTTTATTATGTTAAGGACTGCCAGAAATAATTGGCTCTTACAGCAGGAAATTTGGAGAAGCTGAAGGTAGTTCAAAATAACAGTTATCTAAAGCAATGCCTTTTTTCCTTCCTCTCTTTAAAACAAACTTCACAGGAAGACAGACACATAGTTCAGCACCTTACATTTTAGATAACACATCTTTAAGAACATTTTGAACATACTCATGAGTAATATAACATTGTTACATTTACAGGGAGGAGGGGGGAAGAAAAAAAGCTTTGTCTTAACGCAGCTGCTTGGTTCACCTTTGGCTAGATGTTTGTCCTGATGATTTGGTACAAGAAAGGAAAGGTTCTGTGCAAATTAAAAGCAATGAAGCAATTTTAAGCTTAACATGTAAGAATTCCCTGATTTCTTAGGTAGTGACTACATATTCTACAGCTTTACAGATACTAACATAGCTTTAGGATTTGTAAGCAACATCTAAATTCCCATTAGACAATACTTAAGACATTTCAGGAAATCAGGCAGACTAAATGCAAACTCATGCAGTCTTGTCTTCCTGACTTTCAGACAGACAAGAATAATCTGAAGGTAAGTATGGACTGAACTCTCACCTAAACATGTGCTATACATGAATTTTAGTGGTGACAATTTAGAACTCGGTGTGACACTACTCAGCATTTTCATTAAAACCTTTTCATTAAAACCTAGTGATGATGGCTAGAGAAAGGACAATAGTAAAAGCCACTTGATACAGAAATATACAGTGCAAAACCTGTTTCACAGTCTTTCACAGCAACTTCCATTTAATGTCATAAAGGGGAAAACCGGGATGAAAGTTCAGATCTACCCGCAACGGGGAAGAAAAACTCAACATTGTTCCCTGGAAGGGAATATGAACAAGCCAACTATAGCAACTTAATCACAGATAAGAGAAGCAGCTAGTTCGATATTAATACGACAATGGACAATAAAATATGCAGTGCTGTTTCCTCACTTTCACTAAATGACATTTTCCATGAAATAGAAGAAAGGTTACTATATTGCTATGAAGACAAATAAAAAGTTAATATAATATAGCATGAAAATTGTACCTTTTAAAGTTTCTCTTGGCAAAAAAGAGGCAATAAAACTACTTATATTGGAATGTTTATCTGCAGAATTGTGAAATACCTTAAAAACCATCCTAAGGGCCTTTGAAGCATTCTTATCTAAGGCATTGTACATTTGCTTACCTATTCAATGATGGCAGAAGTGAAAGCAATGCCAAAGCAGAAAGTTTTCTTCTTTCTGGCTGAGTGATGTTATCCATCCGATCAACCCACATTTCAATCATGTTACCAAGAATTTGGTCCAACTGCAATGGGAAGCAGAAAGTTCCTTTTCAGTTATGAGTACACGAGCATATTTAGAAAATAATTTATTTCAATTTTTTCTACCAACTGAATACATTATTCAATCTGGGAAAGACACCATACAGTTACGTGTACCTGACAGAAGCAGCAGGCAACAGGTATTTTTTTAATTTTCTGTGACAGAGCTTCCAAGTCCTGAACCCCCCCTCACCATTAAGTGTAGCCTAGAAGTTAGAAATGCATTTAATTCACGGACAGAGCACTGATTCAGAACAGTGTACTACTGAAACAGTTTTGCTCTAACAGTCTAATACATAGAAAGCATGTGAACTTACTCTCTTTTACCTTCACTGCTGACAGGAAAAAAAAAAAAAAAAAAAGAGACTTGTCTTTAACTGTTTGAAAACTGTATTACGCTTAAGGATAAGCAAATTACTAAATTTCACTTACTAAATTTCACTTAAAAACATAGTAGAACACCTGCAGCAAAAGAAAATCAGTAAAGTCATCAGTGAAACCGGAGCACACTGGCCCCAATACTCCTAGAAACTCACCAGAGGACAATTAGACCATTATCCCTGGTGCAAGACCCATCAAGATGGCACAAGGAAAGAAACTCTTACCCTGCAGTACCATTCATACTGAAGGGGTTTATATAGCTTGTTGTGGGATTCAGTGGAAAGAAAATTTGGAGATTGTCTAAAACTTCTAATGAGATGTTTTAAGGTAATTGTGGGAACATGTAAAACTTGTTTCAGGATGTTCAGGGGAAGGACCGAAGGAGGGGAAAGGGCCTCTTTCCAAGGTAGACTGGAGAAGAACAAGCATGGCAAACAGAGGGAAAAGTTCTTTCAGGTCAAAAGAATGCAAGACTTCCACATGCAATCCAGCTGACATACCAACACAAAAATCCTTACCTCCTGACCCAATTCACATGCCATCTGGCTCAAAAGCAATGAAAAAAAACTTGCATTTTGTAGTAGAACTCTACCCATTATCCCCAGATAAGTCGACATCACCACTGGATATCTCTGAAACAAAAGTAAACCAAACAAAAAGGTCTTAGTTTAATTAAAATATTTAATGTATACAGCAGAAATACATGGAAAATACTTGTGTGCATCCTTTATGTATTTTATTAAATTTGAAATTATAAATTGTAAATTAAGAGCCTCTAATAAAACAAGACTGAGCAAGTAACCATTACAAGAGTTTCTTGAGTCTTACAATAGGAAAACTAGGGCAATCTCGAAGTCATTTTCCTCCAAAGAGCCAAGACAACTTGTAAGGTGATACTACTTTAAATTTAAAAGCCTGCATCTTAAGGATTAGTATATTCTACTGATAAAAAATTACTTTCAAAGTTGATTATGATTTGGTTTTGGCTGGATAGAATTAATTTTCTTCATAGTAACTAGTATGGGACTATGTTTTGGATTTGTGCTGGGTACAGTGTTGATCACACAGGGATGTTTTAGCTATTGCTGAGCTGGGCTTTCACAGAGTCAAGACCTTTTCTGCTCCTCAACCCACCCCACCAGCAAGGAGGCTGGGGGTGCACAAGAAGTTGGGGAGGGCACAGCTGGGACAGCTGTCCCCAGCTGACAAAAGAGGTATCCCACACCCTATGACATCATGCTCAGCAATAAAAGCTGGGGAAGAAGAAGGAAGAGAGGACATTTGGAGTGATGGCGTTTTTCTTCCCAAGTCACCGTTAGGCGTGATGGAGCCCTGCTTCCCTGGGGATGGCTGAACACCTGCCTGCCCATGGGAAGGACTGAATGAATTCCTTGCTTTGCTTTGCTTGCATGCGTGGCTTTTGCTTTCCCTATTAAAATGTCTTCATCTCAACCCACAAGTTTTCTCACTTTTACTCTTCTGATTCTCTCCCCCATCCCACCGTGCGGGAGTGAGCGAGCAGCTGCGTGGGGCTGAGTTGCCTGCTGGGGTTAAACCACAACAGGTTCAAAATTACTGTTTACAGTTTTAGTAACATTAAGAAGTGCTTAGTATTTCTGAAGTTGATGTTAACTTGTTTCACTGAGAGAAACTACAACACATCTGCCAGTAACCAATTTGCAAGTGTCTCAAAATTAACTGGATACACTCATTAGTTTATTATCTTTTGTTATTACCTTTAATTTTAAAAGAAGCTACTGATTTCTTTGTATTAAATTCAGCATCTAATGATGTAACAGTAAGTATTTTGTAGAATTGCCTACTTGGAAAAAAAAATGCCAACATTTACCTGAAAATGTTAATACCTTTTTGAATAGGCAACGATGAATTTATTAGTCTTAAACCATTTTAATAATCCACTCTCCTGCTTTGTGTCCTCTTAAACTGCAAACTGTTCAAACAAACTGTCTTTTTTGTGGCCTGTACAGCAAAAAGTACACTGCTAAGTTATATTACTTGGCTTAATCTTGGAAATATCTTATTTAACTCAATAATAATGGGATCCAGATATTTATATCTGAAAGACTTCAACTCTGAAAAAAGCAAAGGTCTTGATCAAAAATGTCAAAAGCATAGCGAATTCCACCCACTGATTCAGCTGCTTAAAGTATTTTTTTCTCCTGCTAGTACTTACTGCAAGGTTCAACAGAGTCAAAGCATATTGGATTTTATTTCTTTATCCAACATGGAAATTTGTTGGAAGCAAAGAGAGAGAAAAGGGCAAACTTAAGATATCTAAGCAAGCAAAATCTTAAAGCCTCTTCTATCTCACAGAAAGCATTGTCACATCCTTCAGCTCTTCATATTAGATATGCCAATAATACAAAGAAGGTAAAGTCAATTTTCTCCTTGTCCAGTTTGTTTCTTCTCTTGTGCAGGGACACTTAAAAGGAGTAGTACAAGTGTTTTTAAAAAAAAACCCAAACCCCTCCAATGGATCTAACTAAGCAGAGTCATAGCACTTTATCAGTGTTGATAGAGAAGGAACAGCAGAGTTAAATTTGTGTTATTTTATTAAGAGAAACACTAACTGACAAAATAAGTGATGGATGTGTTGTTTCAACACTCACACTGCTATGTTACTTTTACAGACTTAAAATAGCTGTCAAAGATGCTCTTAAAACAAACAAACAAAAGGAACATCAATATGAGAAAATTGGGCCAGATAATGGAAGGTACCTACCTGTTCAAAAGGAAAAGTAGACAGTAGTTAAAAAAGTAACTCTTACCTCCCCATCTATAATCCCCCTGAATATTGATGGCAGAAGGGGTTGAAACATTTGAGGACCCAAAACAGGGTTTACTTTTAGGACATTTTCCACAACCTTAAGAAGAAAAGCAAATGAGACAATCGGTAAAGTACGTTTAAAAATCTTAATTGAAGCTTTAAAACTACATATACCGGTCTACATATAAAGTCCTGGTAGGATGTTTACCATTAAAACCCAGGAAACCCCAGGATTGCTGAAAGTATATTCCAGCAAAGTACCCTGCAAACCTGATCTGCATAATGGATCTGATAAACACTGACATGCCAAGTAAAACCCACCTAGCCAAGTACTTCCTCATCAGCCTCCTCCTAGCCCTGGCAGAGATGATGAGGTGAGCTGGAAGGCTGGACATTGACAGAGCTCCTGGAAAAGCAGCTTGATGAGGTGGGTTGGCAGGGAGGAGTATCAGCAGTTTAAGGTTTATTTCCATACCTTTGTCCTGTCACTTTTTTGAAGAACCATTGATTAGGACTGTCCTGGTTTCAGCTGGGGTAGAGTTAATTTTCTTCCTAGTAGCTAGCATAGTGCTGTGTTTTGGATTTAGCATAAGAAGAATACTGATAACACGCTGATGTTTTAGTTGTTGTTAAGTAGTGCCTAGAGTAGTCAAGGACTACAAGACTTTTTTTTTTTTAAGCTTCCCCTGCGCTGCCAGGTGCACAAGAATCTGGGAGGGGGCACAGCCAGGACAGCTGACCCCAACTGGCCCAAGGGCTACTCCAGACCATATGAAGTCATGCTCAGTATATAAACTGGGGGGACCTGGCCAGGGTCCCCTGCTCAGGGAGTGGTTGGGCATTGGTCAGTAGGTGGTGAGCAATTGCATTGTTCATCACTTGTTTTGTATACTCTGTATATTCTATTATTATTACTATTAGTCTTCTCCTCTACTGTTTATTAAACTGTCTTTATGTCAACCCATGGGTTTTTATCTTTTTTTTTTCTGATTCTCTCTCCCATCCCACTGGGGGAGGGGGACGCAGAGTGAGTGAGCAGTTGTGTGGTTTTCAGCAGCCTGCTGGGCTAAACCAGAACAAGGACCTACCATCTCTCTGCAGGTGATCAAGTAACAAGTAGTGCTCTCAGATGTGCTATTCTCAGTACCCTACTCTGGTTCCCAATTTTTACATTCTTTTCCATGTAACTTCTCAACAACCCTGTTGCAGGAGCTGTTCCCTAAAGTAGTTTTTTTCCCTGTATTGTTCAGGGTTTCTTTCACCCAGCTGTTTGGGCTCTCCCCTTGTAACGAGATGGAGAGGGGAAGAGGCTGTGAGAATAATGGGCTGAATACCTGTTCACTCCTATGGGTAGCAAGGACAGAGACCAGACACCTATACACTGATGTGTATAAAGCATTTAAAGGTACCATAAAGGTACCTCCCTTAAGCACTTCTCAGTCTCCACCTACTTTCAGTGCAGAGGGACTTCCACAAAGAACTACTCTCCTGTGCTCTTGTCCAGTCTCCCCTACATCTTTTTCACTTTTTCAAACCTTGTTCCTGCTAGCTTCACTTGATGCCCTCTGTTTCTTGCCTTGAGAGAGATGTTAAGCAGTTGACCCCTTTCAATGCCTCTCAATTTTGTAGACCTTTAATATACTATTATATGGAGGTGAACACAAATTTTTTCGCACCCATCTTTTCTACGTATGGGAAGTTTTGGCTAACTCATTTGTTGCTTGTACAGAGTCTTTTCAAACCTTTTGTTGTCTAAGATAATCAGAAAATCAAGCCACAT